CACTTCCTGTAAGTTGCATGCACTATTCTCTACTTAACATCTAACTAGCTACACATAGTCACGTGGCCCAACCCTAAGGTAAGCTGGGAAACAGTCTTTATTTTGATAACTGTCTACTTACCTAAAATTCAGAATATCAATGAAGGGTAAAGTGGATATTTGGAGACAACCAGAAGTTTCTGCCACAGTTCTCTAAGCCTACTGTGTACAGAGAAACCAGTTACCTTTTTAAAATATAAATCAGATCACCTCATAGCCTTTCATAAAATCTTGCAAAACATCCCCATTAAATTTAGAATAAATCCCTTCTCCTAACTCTGGCTTGTGAGGTCCTATGTGATCTGGTACCCAACTATCTCTCTGATCTCCCTAGTTCTATCTATGGCTATACAGGCCTGCCCATTACTTCAATACACCAAGTTAACTCCTGCCTTACGGACTAAAATATGCCTTCAGTCTAGAATCAGTCTCTCTGCATGAGTGACTGCTTCGTTTCATTCCGTTCTTGTGAGGCTTCCCTGATTTCTAAATAAGCTCTACATTTTTTCCATCTTGCTTTATTTTCATTATTACTAATACCACTTGGTGTTTTAGGGATTTGTTATTGTCATCTTTTCTTATTAGAAAGAGAGGTCTTGTCTATCTCAATTCACTGATGCGTCTCTAGTGCCTAGAAGACTGCATGACCCACACAACACACTGTATAAATTAGATGAATATATGAAGCAACTAAGAATGATCCTGATTACACATAGTATGTACAGAGCCCTGTGCCAAGTGATGAACACACATATCAGTTTAACAGTAGCCACATATATGACTCAGTGTTTTCGTGTGAGCATAAATCAGGGGATGAGAAAAGAATTGAGATTTTTTTCTCCCTTTCTTATTTTTCTCAGGCTGGCTCCATTTACCTTTGTTAGTAATTAAACACGCCTCTAAGCCTTCCTGTTGTAAGCATTTAAGTGGTAAACATAGGTTTATTAAATCTAACACAAGATGCCAGACTGCAACAACCACATAACTGGCCTCCCTGCTCATTAGTATTTTCTATAATGAAAGCAGAAATGGAGTGCAATTAGAGTTCACATATTACTTGACACAGCAGTAATTTGTTTTTGATAAACTACAAAGAACAAAAAAGCACCCCAATATAATCAGACTCAATTTTACTTTGTTAAGAAAAAAGATGGATAGTGAGCCTTAAGATTACTCCCGCCTACATATGCTAATCACCTTGCCAATCACTTTTCTAGGAGTAGCTGTAGCAGAAGTGCTTTTTATAGTTTCTACAGAATTTGACAAACTTTTTGTTAGTAAAAATGCTCTGAGATGGCAGTTTTGTATGCTCTACTTTGATTAAAGGAGTCCCTTTCAACATCCACAGCACTGTCATCAAGTTTTATCATGATCAGGTCATGTCTGAAAGAGGACTTGATATCCTCTTTGTGCTGTAGTTTCCAATATGTTACTCTATGCAAATTTAAATGAATACATTTTAATGTCATTGATTAGAAAACAACTGAACTTTCGGATTAGCATACTGCACTCTGTAATTTTGTGTACAATACAACAAATATGTTGAAAAGTCACCCAGAGGTTAGAGGTGATAGAAGAGAGCAAGGCCTCCCACCAATCATAGCAACCTTGCTCTTACCTGTTCTTGTTTTGAAGTACTTTCTTATAAAAGTGACTTTGAAGGAGTTCTGTTATTAAGGGAAGTTTGGAAACCCCTAAAGTAGATCACCTCTCAGGATCCTCTTTTCCAACTGAAAGAACATAATAATAGGGAACTCAAAAGTGATGCAGGGACATAGATTTTTTTTTTAACATCAATAATTATTATGCGGAAGCATAAACAGAAAAATATAGGAGACTGTGCTGAATGGGTAGTACCAAAAGTAGAACTTAGATTGTTGTTTTAAAATTGTAGATATGGACTTCATCATTTGTAGTCTATTATTTTTCTTTCTTATTCCAAAAAAGGACTGAAAGTATTTTTGATTTGAGCTTTCTTTGTAACATAAACATATTTTCCTAAAAGGAGAATTTGGTCTCAAAATGTAAACTACCTTCTAGTTGAAGATTTATTATAATAAAACCACTGCTTAATAAGACCTTTCAATTGACAATGTTAAAAAACAGTTTTTCCAACCCCTTAGGAGAAAAGCCAAGAAGTTATTTTTTTTAAAAGTTACTAAAAAAAAAAGTTTACTATTCAAGGATTAGTTTTTCAGTATAATTATTTTTTCAGTTAGTTCATGTTCTTTGATGAGGCCCAAGACTGAAGAATAGGAGTTCATGTAGACTTAGACAAGAGTTTTAAAAGGTGTTACCAAGGGATATTTATGCTTTGTTACACTACAGATTTAACCACAGTTTATATACTTTAAATATCACTGAGTCTAACAGAATTCTTCTGCAGCAAGTGTGCAGCATTAATAACAACAACAACAAAAAAATGGGTTTATAATCCCCACTTAAGGTTTTCATAAAACTAAAGACAGAATGTTAACTCAAATTTTTTAAGACCCACAGTGGTAATGAACAGCTAAAAGTATATTATTTATTTTCAATAATACTGTACACGGAAGGGTTAAAACAAATCTAGTAAAGTTATCCTTTTGTACTCACTGCTGAAAGTAAAACAAAAAGAATAAATGGAGTCTTAAAAAACTAAAATTCTACTTAAAAACTCGTACGCTCATTATGGTTGTTTTAGTAGAAACTGACTGTATATTCCAACAAGACTTTTCTTAGATAGCATCTACCAATATGCAAATGTTTAATAGTTACTTCAGACTAATTTGTTTTTAAAAGTCAATTTTTAAAATTAAAACACTAATTAATATATAGATAATACAGACATTGGGTTAATAAAATCAAGTCACACAAATGGTTGTGCAGTAAAATGCAAGTCCTCCCTTCACTCGTCTTTCAGTTCCCCCAGATTCCTCTCTCAGGATCAATTTTTGTTAATTTTTAAAAATCTTTCCAAACCAATTTTTAGCATTTACATACATATACCACAGAAGACCTAAAAACAGTTTGTCTTCTTTCTAGTAAGCTTAAAACAAAAATTTAGCTTGAGCTTTAAAAACATTCTAGCATGTAAAAATAGTGTAGGTTGACTAACATTAAAAAAAGAAAAGCCAGATACTACATTGTTTTCACTGTAGCTTTGCCATCACCATAGAATCCTTCTCCGAAAGGTGCAACAACTAAATGCTTCGCGGTGGCCAGAGGGGGCAGTGTGTACCAACTGTAAACGGAAAGGCAGATGAGCTGCAAACCCCTTCACCATAGGAGCAGCAGCTAAGGTAATGAGACTCTGCTCAAGGCAGCTCAGTTTTCCAAGTTCTGCAGGTAAAGCTGGGTAAACAAAACCGTGTGATTTCTTCTGGGTGTGAGTCGGGGGAGAGATGATACTCTCAGATGTGCCCTGATAACCATAAGAAGGTGTGTGCAGTCAGTGCGACGGGAAGAAAATTCAGCTAAGTAACATTATCAGATATCCTACTATACATGTGGTTTATTTTAAAAACCAAATCTTAACTTCCAAAGAATGACTTTATAATAATCAAGAGTTTACAGATAACTATAAAATTTCAGAGTTATTTTTTATTATAATAAAGGAATCATTAAGAATTTATGGACTGTGAAATAAATATTCACCAATTCGAAAAATCCTAGGTTCCCTTAGTACAAGCTGAATATATAAATATATACTCGGGTAGTTCAATATTTTAAATCAAATAAATCTCAAGAATTTAGGACTTTTTGTCCAATTAAAACGTAAATTTGCAAATTAAAAAAAAAAAAGTAAATTTGTCCAAAACATAGTACATCCAATTCAAATTGGAAGCAGGATCACAGCAAACTTTCTAATAAAACAAATTTGGAAAAAAGTGTTAATATGGAGTAAGAAAAAACAAATTTGTCATTGTAGAATATTAAGGTAGTAAAGAACTAGACATGCCTTTAACTTTCCCCTCAATATAAACGGTTTTTTCCCCCTAACAATTGCAAGAATTCATATATTCAATTCCCAATTAAATAGGTGGTGGTGAGGGAGAGAAAGTCTTTCACTGAGTTGTAACGGTGTTTTCTCTGAGAATGGATAAAAGGATTTATTCAGTTAAGAGTTTCAGAATGAACTTTGTGTCGCAAGCTAGATTATGTACATTTTTTTTTTCTAAAATAATACCTCCCGGGAAATGCAAACCCGCTAGAGCATGTTTCAGAGCTTTGTGCACTTGGTAAGCCGACTGTTTTAATTCTCCGAAAACAAATAAGAAGCAAACACCAGCGGAGCGTATTTTGGGATATGCAGAAAGGAGCTGGAGGAGTGACGTTCTAGGGAGCAGCGCGTCCAGGGGAGAGCCTGGGGCACAGCCCCAAGCAGCCGCGCTCCCCCGGGGCCGAACTAAGTCGGGTCCGCGGCGCACACGCGCCGCCCCCGGAGCCCGCAGTGGTGCCGCAGCCTCCTCGGCCGCAGCAGGTGGGACCCGGCCGGTCCGGAGGCCCGTTCTGTCCCCGTGCGGACGCCGCTGGGCTTTTCGAAAAACGCTCCGCGACGTCTCGTATCCGGCTTTTATTGTTTGCGTGGAATTACTTTTTGGTATTACGTTCGGAAAAAGACCGGCCTTAGCTCCATTGATACGGACCCACAACTTTGCAAAGCAATGTCCGTTAGAGGCGCGAGCGCACAGATCGGAGGGCCCCGCCGGGCCGCCGGGGCACCTCCCCGGCAGCCACTTCCCGATTGTACCCCACCAGAGCTGCCAGACACGCAGGGGTTGGAGGGGAGGCGCGCTGGGAAAGCTCCCGCTCCGGGCAGGACGCGAGAGCTCCGCGATCCGCTCCAAGCCGCCGCGAGCGCCGCCAGACAAAGAGGCGCGTCGGGGTGCCAGGCGCAGGGAAGGGACGCGAAGACGCGGGCCGGTCGCACGCCGGCCTCAGCCCGCAGGGGGCGCCGTCCACGGCCCCTGGGCGCTTACCTTTGAGGACCGAGCAGAGCTGCTCCAGGGCCATGTTCCCGAGCGGCCAGGCGCTTCTCGAGGAGCTGAGTGGGCCGAGGCGGAGGCAGAGGCGCGCGACTCACGGCCCGGCGCGATGGCAGCCCCACTCTGTCCCCATCGTCGGTCACAGGGCTGCCTCTCCACTGAGCACGGCTCAGGTCCTGCGGCCCGGCATGCCCGAGTCCCCTGGAGGGCTCCCGCACTGCCCGAGTCCCCCGACGGGCACTGCCTCCTGCTCCGCGGCGCTCCGTCCCATCGACCGCCTGGGAGCAGAGGAGCACTAACGCGTGGCGCGGGACAATACGGCCGCTCCACCCGCAGCCGCGGCTCGGGCTCCACTGAAGTGGCGGGCGCGGGGAGCCCAGGCTCATTTAAGCAGCGAGCGCGAGCGCCGCGTGCCGGCCGCGCTGCCTTTGCGCATGTGCCCGCCCCCTCCCCCGCCCGCGTGCCCCTCGCGCCCCTCCCCGCCAATCGCTTCGCGAGCCCGCCCGCGGCCTCGCGCCCTGGGATGGCGTCGCGCTCTGCCGGTGACCGTTGGGGTGGGGGCGGGGTGAGGCCACGGCGGGCCGCCGCCTGGCAGAGGCTGGGGGTGGATCGCCGCTCCAGTGGGCGGGCGCGGAGGGTCAAGCCCAGCCCTTACCTCCGCCGCCGCAGAGCGCCGGGGGCAGCAGATGGAGTCCTCGGTGTCTCCCGCCCTCACCCACCTGCCGGGTCTTCTTGCTCCCTCGCAGGCTTCCAAACCTTGGGTCCCCTAGCAGCTCAATTCAAGGTGAAAACTTTGCTCAGCTCTGCTGGACCACCTGCCCGGGTCAGGGAGGCGAGGGTCCGGGCAGAGGGGAGGCTCTCAGAGTCCTTAGCGCCAGGTGAGTTAAGCGGACCAACGGTAATAATTACTGAGGGTTCCTGAACGCTTACTAGGTTGCCGGACACAGCACCACGCACTTTCCATATCCACACTTTAAATCTTCCCACCCTCAGAGGATGGGAAGATCCAGACAGGAGAGGTTAAACCATTTGTCCAGAGCCAGTGAGCAGGCAGGCAGAAGTGTAAATCCCGGGTATCTGCCTCCTGGATAATGCCCTGCTGATGGGTGGTTAACTCGACTGATAAAAATCTCCAGATTTGCCAATGACTGTCGTTTGTGGTGTTATCCTCTTTTATTTTCTCTGTAGCACTTGTGCTCTGAAATTACCTTGCTTGTTTACTTATCTCCTGTGTCTCGCTAACCCCTATCCCATTAAAATAGAAGCTGATTGAGGGCAAGGAGGCTATGTTCCTTATTTCACTCAAGGAATACTTATTGGGGAGAAAACAGTCTGGTGTTGGGGAAACAACCTTGAGTCAGACTTTACCATATAAATAGATTGTTTGTACCTGAATCTGACACACAGTAGGACCTGTTGTCTAATAAATTATTGCTAAGGACAATGTCAGGCTACCGAAAGAAATATTCCAAGATTGTCAAGGCCTTCTCTCTTTCCTTGTATCCATCCAAGAAAAGCACAAAACTGCAAGTAATTCATAAGATTTACAAGTGAAAACATATCCAACACCAGTGAATATGAAGGTGTTTGACCCTTTGCTGTGTGCTGTGTTGGGTTTTTATAAGCTGTGTCTAAGTTTGGGTTTCTAAGGACAATCACAGTTAAGATTGTACACAAGAACCAACTAGTAAATAAAGCAATTAAGACCCCTTTCCACAAATACAGTAGGTGGCATTTTGGTAAACTAGCACAACAAAAAATAAGGCCATTGGGTAGATAAAAATTTGAGAGGAAGGGGCCCTTTGAACATCTGGAACAATAAAAGGTTCTTAATGCATAGTTGTTGACTGAAGGAAAAATCAGCATGTGTGATGTCATCAGAGAATGTTTCATGAAGAAGGTGACACACAAAGAATGGGAAAGCTTTAGATGGCAAGTGGAGAGGAGAAGGTGGAAGAGCACAACAGGCAACTGCAGGGGTGAGCAGTTTTATTTTTGGTAGTAAAGATAAGGTTACTAGAGGGATGCAGTTGGCCTTGAGTATCCAGGGAGGATCAGTTCCAGGACACCCTCCCAACCCCCAATCTCCCATGGATACTAAAATCTGTGAATGTGAAAGTGGTGTAGAATTTGCACATAAACTACATGTATTCTCTCATGATTTAAACATCTCTACCTTACTTCCAATACCTAAGAGTGTAAATGCTATGTAAATAGTTGTTAAACTGTATCGATTAGGGAATAATGGCAAGGGGGAAAAAGCCTGTACATATTCAGTATAGACACGATTTTTTTTAATATTTATTTTTTAGTTGTAGTTGGACACAATACTTTTATTTATTTATTTTTATGTGATGCTGAGGATTGAATGCAGGGCCCGGCACGTGCTAGGCAAGCACTCTACCACTGAGCCACAGCCACAGTCCTACAGAAACGATTTTTAAAAAATTGTTTTTCAGTCAGTTGCTGCTTGAAACCTTGGATACAGAGCCCTCAAAATTCAGAGGGCTGACTGTATTTACTTGAATGCTAGGTGAGGAGTTTGTACTTGATTCACAAGACCATAGGAATAGCTTTTAATAGTGGAATAGTAGAGTTCCAGAAAAAATTAATCTGGCCTTAAGTTCAGTTGAGGATGACAGATAAGAGAAACCATAGTAATTCAAACAGTAGGTATATAGTATTTCTTCATTTAGCTTAGTAGCTTTTATTAATAGTTTCATTTTTATAAAAACTGAAAAGTCTTTTCTAGCATGTGGGCTTGGGAGTAGATTTCAATTGGGAATGTTCATTTTGTGGCTCCCTTTTCAGGCACCTATCTCTTAGCCATACTGGTATAATTGTAGTAGACTTTTTGAGGAATGTAGTAAAGCACAGATCATAGCTGAGACTACTGTGTGGCCATATGTTAGCTAAATCAAAAGGAAAGCAGTTTGCATATCTCTCAGCTGGGGAGTTCTGTATTTGAATTATTATTTTGTAGGAAGACCGCCCGGTAGCACCCAGTCTGTTCCCACATTACTTGCCAGTTTTCAGGTGACTGGGAACTCTGCTTTCATTGCACCCTGCCCCATCTTCCAGGCTTCAAGCTAGCTTTTCCAACTTGTCACAGAATCATGCCTATAGTTTAAATGTGGTTTTCCCTGACTAAATCCCATGTAGCACTTGAATGGTGCTGCATGGCAATGACTTATTAGAATGAGTCATTTTTAAAAAGCTTTTTATCTCAATGGTTATGTACTTAATAGATTTTTGTTGTCTTTCTTTTTTGCTATACTTTGGCAGTTTGAAGATAACCTACAAAAGCTATCTCTATGTTTAGAGATTCTTACTGACTGAATGTTTGTGTTTCCTCAAAGTTCACATGTTGAAGTCCTAACCTGGAGTGGGGCTGTATTTGGAGATAGGAGGCCATCTAATTACATCTAAGGAAGTAATTGGGTTAATTGAGGTCATAAGTGTAGGGCTGCTCTGATAGAATTAGCATCTTTATAAAAAGAGAATCCAGAGAGCTTGTTCTCTGAATGTGCAGGCACAAAGAAAGGCCATGTAAGGACATAGGGACAAGGTAGCCAACCATCTGCAAGCCAGAAAGAGAACCCCCATCAGAAACTGAATTGCCTGGTGCCTTGATCTGGAATTTCCAGCCTCCAGAACTGTGAGAAAATATAGTCCATCATTTAAGTCTATAGTTTTGTGTGTCAGCCCAAGGTGACTAATAGGGGTATAACTAAGGAAGACAAAGGAATTTATTATCAGCCAAAATTTGATATACAGAAAACTATTTTTACTAAATCACAACATGGGTTTCAAACTGCTTTTCTGATATTGTACAATTTATGGCTACAGTAATGGTGAAATTTAGTGAAAGCCAAATGGTCTTGGTGTGTAAAGATTTCATTGTTTATTATACAACCGTAGAGTTTTTGTTTAAGCAAAGAAAAGAGGAAGATTATAAAAAGGCACTGTATTGGTCTGCTTGGGCAGCCATGACAGAATACCATGTCATGGGTGGTTTAAATAAAAGATTGTTGTTTTCTCAGAGTTATGGAGGCTGGAAGGCTGAGATCAATGTGCCTGCAGACTTCATTTCTTTTTTCTTATTAAATTATTTATTCTAATTTGTTATACATGATGGCAGAATGGAATTCATTTCATATAACACATATAGAGCACAATTTTCAAGTCACAAATTGTTCACAAAATATTTTCACACCATTCGTGTCTTCATACATATACTTAGGGTAGTGATGTCTAACTCATCTACCATCTTTCCTACCCCCTTGCCCATTACCCCCTTTTCTCTCCCCTTTGCCCTATCTAAAGTTTCTCCACTCCTCCCATGTTCCCCCGCATTGCCATTATGAGTCAGCATCCTTATATCAAAAGAAAACATTGGGCCTTTTGTTTTTTGGGATTGGCTAACTTCACTTAGCAGTATATTCTCAACTGCATCCAATTACCTGCAAATGCCATGATTTTATTCTCTTTTAATGCTGAGTAATATTGCATTGTATGTATGTATGTGTGTGTGTGTGTATGTATGTGTGTGTGTATGTATATATATATATATATATATATATATATAAGTCCTATCCATTCATCTACTGAAGGGCATCTGGGTTGGTTTCACAATTTAGCTGCTATAAACATTGATATGGCTGTGTCCCTGTAGTATGCTGTTTTTAAGTCCTTTGGGTATAAACCGAGGAGTGGGATAGCTGGGTCAAATCGTTCCATTCTAAGTTTTCCATACTGCTTTCCATGCAGGCTTCATTTCTATTGAGGGCTTTTTCCTGGCTTGCTGATTACCACCACTGCATTGTCTTCATGTGGATTTTACTTTTATGTGTACTCTTGTGTCTCTTTTGCTTATTTTAAGGACATCATTCCTATTGGATTAGGTCTCCACTGCCACAATCTCATTCAACCTTAATATCATCTCCTTAGAGGCCTTATCATCAAATACAGTCATATAGGAGGTTAGTGCTTCAACATACGAATTCTGGGGAGTACATGATTGAGACCATAAAGTACACAAAACAAAATTATCTTTCTCTGTTAATGCTGTTGAAGAAGAGCTCCTGCTAGGGAATCAAAAGGAGTTATTTTAGTAATACTGTCAAATAAACTAAAATTTTTACTAAAATTTTTCAATCTTATCAGGCATATGTCAAATGGTCAGGTAAATTTTCATCATCTGTTTACTTCATGCTTAGATCTATTTAGTTGAAATAAATACTGATTTATTAGTGTAACATGAAACTGTAGTCTTAAAGTATATAAATTTTAATGTAGATGTCTGGGAATGATAATAGATGACAATAGAAATTTTTTATAAGTTCAACTTAATGGCTTGATGAACTGTAAGTACTAGTTGATATACATATGCTATTTAATATTGGTTTGATTAGAAGGCATATATTCTACATATTGTTATTCAATTCTTATAATTTATTTGTAAGGAATGTATATCTAAATTATAATATTAGGAACAAAGCTCAAACTTTTGTGCTATGAAATACATAATTTAAGATTTATAAAGAAACTCATTTCTAGATATGTGATCTACAAAGGGATCTTTGAAAAATTTTACAAGATTTTAAAAAGTTACTAAATAAATATTAGAAATGTAAATTACTAAATATATATTTAGAAATGTGTCTAAAAGAAGTATGTATGCATGTATCAAGAAATGAAGCATTGGGCCTGGGGATATAGCTCCAGGGATACAGAGCTTGGCTAGTTCTGGATTCTAGGCTAAGAACTGTGAGAAAAAAAGAAAAACTAAAACAGAAATGAAGTACCATCCATACTCTGAAATATTCCTTGTGCCTCTGCCTGATGATAATCTCCCAGTTCCCTAGAGTTCATCACTGTTCTGAATTTAATCATTTCCTACCTTTTCTTTATGATTTGATACCTGTAAATGCATCTTTAAACAATATATTATTTTCCTATTTTTGAACTTATTTAAATAGAATAATTGCTGTATGTATGCTTCAGTCTTGTTCAACTGGCTTAACTTTGAGATAAATCTGTATTGTATGCAGTTGTAGTTCTTTAAATGTCATGGCTGAATAATGTTTCATTGTATAAAAATCCATGTAAACAGACAGTTTATATCTTTTGGCCCTTATGAATATTGCTATGAACTTTTAAATTTTTTGGTACCAGGGATGAGCCTGGGATACTTAACCACTGAGTCACATCCCCAGCCATTTTCATTTTTTATTTTAAGATATTATCTTGCTAAGTTGCAGAGGCTCATTGAAATTGTGATCCTCCTGCCTTAGAAAAAATTTCCTTTATGTATTTGTGCTTTTTGTGTTCTGAATAAGAAGTCCAACCTCTCTTCAGGATTGCAAAGTTATTTACTTATATTAAGTACTAAAAGCTTATAAATTTGCATTTCACATTTAGTTTAAATCTATCTGGAATTGATTTTTCTGTGTTAGGGCACATCTAATTTTAGTTCTCTTATTAATGTTCTCAACCTCATTTATTGTTAAAAAGTTGTGCTTTTTATTCTTTTCTAAGGTGTTACACCTGTATGTAAGTCTGTGTCTGAACTGTCTAATACATTCTGTTGGCCTATTTGTCCATTCATCAGTACCACACTCTATTAATTGTAAGTTCATATGAAGTTTTAATATCTGGTAGGACTAGTTCTTGTTCTTTTTCAAGATTATTTAGGCTACTCTTGGCTCTTTGTATTTCCATATATACTTTACAAGTAGGTTATTAAGTTCAGCATTAACAACAACAGTAACAAAAAAGTCAGTGGGATATTAATGGAGTTGGGAAGGATTTAACATCTTTTATAATTTTGAGTATTCCTATCCATGAACCTGGTACAGATGTGCATTTGTTGAGGATTTCTTTAGTGTTTTTCAGAGAAGTTTGATAATTTACTTTATAGAAGTGTGTTTATATCTTACGTGATTGACTTTTTTTTGATATTGTTATGTTATCTGTTTTAAAATCTCATTTTGTTACTGAGTATGCTGGTATATAAAAATAGATTTGATAGAAATAAACTCTCAAAACTTTTTTCCAGAGTGGCTTTACCATTTGTATTCCCGCTAATAATGTATGAGAATTCCTGTTGTTCCTCATCCTTGTTGGCACTTGAATTCTTATTCTCTGTTTTAGCCATTATGATAGATGTGTGTAGTGGTATCCTTTCATGACTTTAATGTACATTTTCTTCATGGGCACTTTTATGTGTTTATTTTCTATCCATATATCATTTTGGGTGAAGTGTCATTAAATTCTGACCCACTCTTAAATTGGGTTGTTTTTGTATTGTTGAGTTTTAAAAGTTATTTATACATTCTGGATATAAGTTTGTTGTTGGATATGTGATTTGCAAATATTTTCTTTGCCTATTTAGTTTGAATATCCATTCTCTTCAAAGTGTATTTGGCAAAGCAAATATCTTTAATTTAGATCAGATCAAATTTATTAATTTTTTCTTTTGTGGATCATGCTTTTAGTATCATTTCTAAGAACTCTGCTTAACCCCAGGTCATGAAGATATTCTTCTATGTTTCCCTCTAAAAGTTTTGTAGCTTTACATTTTATGTAAGGTTTACAAGCTGTTTCAAGTTAATACAAGGTATAAATTCAATTTTCTTTCTTCCCTTTGCATATAGATATCAATTGTTCTGACAGCATTTGTTGAAAATGCCTTCCATTGAATCATTTTTATACCTTTGTCAAATATTGTATAGTTATCTTTGTGTGGGTCTATTCTGGACTCTATTTTATTCCATTGACCTATGTGTCTGGCTTGATGAGTATAGTTTTATAATTAACAAGAAATCTGGTAGTTAGATTCCTTCAACTTCATCTTCTTTTTCCAAATTGTGTTAAGATATTCTAGCTCCTTTTGTCTTTCATATAAATTGTACAGTAGTCTTTTTTTTTGTCTACAAGAAATACTACTGGGATTTTGATAGGGATGGGGTGAAATCTATAAATCACCTCAGCAAGTGTTTACATCTTTATTATGTTGGGTTTTCACATCTCTGAATAGTGTCTTTCCATTTAAGTCTTCCTTGATTCTCCCATTATTATCTTTTTTTTAAAAAATATTTTTTAGTTGTTGATGGGCCTTTATTTTATTTATACGCGGTGCTGAGATTCGAACCCAGGGCCTCACACATGCCAGGCAAGCACTCTACCACTGAGCCACGATCCCAGCCCCTCCCATTATTATCTTGTAGTTTGTAGTTAAACAAATGGATCCCTTGCATGCTTTGTTATATTTCTACCTAAGACACTCATTGTTTGGATCTTATTTTGAATGACATTTTTAATATATTCATTTATTTGCTTTTAGATAATTTGTGTGTGTGTGTGCACTCGCGCGCATTGACCTTTGTATCCTGCAATCTTGGTGAACTCATTTACTAGTTCATTTGTTTGTTTGTTTTTTTGGTACTGGGATTTAACCCAGGAGCACTCAACCACTAAGCCACATCCCTACCCACTTTTTACATTTTATTTAGAGATAGGATCTCACTGAGTTGCTTAGGGCCTTGCTAAGTTGCTGAGGCTGGCTTTGAATTTGATCCTCCTGCCTCAGCTTCCCAAGCTGCTGGGATTACAGGCATACAAAACTGTACCTGGCTCATTTGTATTTGTATGTATGTGTGGGCTCTCTCTCGTCTAGGGAGGAGATCCATAAAACAGGATAGAGGAGAGTGTGGCTGTGCAGTCACGAATCAAGACTGCCAGATACCAAGCTGGAAGCAGATCTGATTTTATTGCGTAATTACCATGTATATATACTCAGGCAATAGCTAAGCAGATTATAGGCAGCCATGGATACAATTATTTGCCAACTGTCTTTGTAGCAACCAATCAAGGAGTGGGCCATGGAGCAAGCGCTGTGACTGCAATACCAGAACTCTGCCTTTGGGGCCATTTGCAGCTCAAGTGCCTAGCAGGAGGGGAGTAGTTTTGCCACTCAGGCACGCTTAGAGTAGGCCACATAGGCAGTACTCCGCGCACCTGTCCCCACATGTGTATGTAGATTTCTTGAGATTTTTCTGTATACCATCATCTCATCTAATAGGGAACATTTTGATTCTTCCATTCCAATCTGTCTTTTATTTTCCTTTCTTGGCTTTTTAATTCTGGTTAAGATTTCCACTAGTATTTTAGAAAGTATTAGTTATAGGGGGACATCCTTGCCCTTGGTCCTTTTATGTACAAACAATCATTTTGAACTCTCCTTTAAGGTAGGTATCACACTTAACTATCCTAGTTTACAGATGAAGAAATCCAAACTTGAAGAGCTAAAGTAATTGATTCAAAGTCATAAAATGGGGCAGTTGGGCTCTGAATTCAGTTTTGTCTGACCTCAAAGTCTTGTTTTCTTTGCACTACAGTATTCAAAATTAATATAAACATCTTTGTTACTGATTCTCAGTGTTGTGGCAATTTTTTACTTGCTGTCTCTTAATAAATAATATTAAAAGTTGTGTTTGGAGACACAGAAATAGTATTATTATCATAGACTATATTTTTGTCATTAACATTTTGTCTGTCATGCTATTCTTTGTAGACCCTGATTCTAAATAGTTTTAAGACTCATGCTTTATTAGTTGACAGATATGAAGTTTATTATCCTTGGAAATGTAAAACAGTGCATGGTTATAGCATTATGGGTTTATAGTGAATATAAGTAATGTCAGGAGAATCCTGCCTTGTCCCTGTCTCACAAAGTGGTAATGGGAAAGTCACCTTATCTTGGTCTTATGGTCCAGATAAGTGATTTATGTTCACTTAACCCTTGAGGACTCTTCATGTTCCAAAATAATTATTTCAAAACTCATCACAACACTTTGCTTCAATGAAGAATATTTATTAAGAAGACACATTCACATGCTCAGATAACAAAGTAAACTAATTTAATACATGCCACTTTCAGTGAACGATAAAGAAAAAAAATAACATGAAGAACGAAATTGTTTTCAGAGAGATTTTATATTTTGGAGCCATTACATGTCCGTGTGCACATTAGAAAATTATTATCCTTAATATATGAACTTTTTTCTCAATCTAAATTTAAGTCTTTTAAATTTAATTTTGGCAAAAGGAAGTTCATAGTGTAAAATTTGCATTCAAGTCTGAATGTAAATTATCAACTGTTGCAAGCCTTGAGAATAGAAATTCGATTGAAAATTTGTATTCCTAGATGCTGTCTATAGCAGGTTCCTTTGAAGAAATAAAATGTTCTTCATTGTCACATGATGATTAGTTTTTCAAATAAAAAATTTTAGGACATATTTATTCTTGGGTAATACTATAATTTTTAGTTAATTTATGATCAAGAAAATTTTATGTAAGATATAAACCACCAAGAATTTTAGTTTTCCAAAGAATGTGATTTCTTCATGCTTAAAAGTAAAATTCTATCAATTCTATATATTTTTATAATTATTTGTAGAAGTCTAATAAAATCACCTAAAATAGTAACAATGACAGCTGCTATGTATTGAGCACTTTACTCTGTGTTAAGCACTGAGCTTAAACACTTTATATACATTATCCCACTTACTCTTTTCAATAACTTAAGCGAGTAAGTATATTAGTCCCAATGTATAAACAAACCTAGGCTTACAGAGTTTAAGCAATAGCCAAATTCAAACAATCACTTTGTAAGCTGTGGAACCAGGAATTTAAGGCAAGTCTTACTGTGATTCCAAAGCAAGAGTACTCAATTATATTGTATGCCATCATTGAGCCCCCTGAACTGCTGTGTTGAAGGTGAATGTTTAATAACTTTAATCTGTGATACATTTGCAAAAGTAGAGTTTGCACCATTAGAATAAGAAACAAGATCAATTCAAGGGGAACAAAGAAAAATCCTGCTTATTTAAATATTTTTATTTATACATATTTTTTCTATGATTACCCCAATAAGATTATAAATACATAAACACCAAAGTACATGCAACACATTCCACAAAAGAACAAAAATGCACAGTAGTACTGAGTAAATAATTTAAATTACTGTTTACAAAGTGCTTTAAAAAAAAAAGACTTTGTGAGACATTCAGACTGTATTTATTTTAATATCTTTCAATAATTACCAAGAGATGCATCATTTATAAATAATATTCAAAATCCCCTATTTTCTTCTATAGGCCAGGATTTAGTATTTCAGCTAATCAAATGAATAGTCATTCCATTATGTAATATTAAAGCCAAATCACATAGCATCAAAATGAAACCGATGGGCCTCTTGTCGTTTTTCTCTATCATCTGCTTTCTGAAAAAAGAATTTTAAATTAGTTTATAAATGATAAGAAAACGTTAAGAAGACTCATTTCTGAAATAGAAGTGATTAATTTCTTAAAAAGCCCTCCCTCAGCAATTAGTAGATAATAGTTGTGATTTTATAATACAATAATCTTATGAAATATTTTTGTAGTTTATAGTAGCTACTTTATAATCAACGATCTACTAATTAAATTTAAAAATCAACAAAAATGTTACTTAGTTTGTTTTGTTGTTTGTTTGAAAATAAAAGTTAACACTTGATTCTATAAGGATAGAATCAACTATTCTATTTTTCTCCAATTCAACACTGATATTAATAAATGAACTAAACTAATTACATTAAAGTATATTAGTTTTTGTTTTTTTGTTTGACCTATGGATTTAGCAGATATTTATAGACCCTCTGCTCCCAGCAATGTATTATGCTCAGTATTTTGAAGAATTAAAAACCCCTCAGTTTTGTATTTTGTTCTCCAGGAACTTAAAGCCTCAGGAAAAAGAAGCAAAACATATTGTACTTCAGGATACAAGGTGAACAATGTTACTTCTAAGAGAGAGATTACTTCTGGGGTTGAGTGATGAAAGGGAATGCTTTGAAAAGACAGCATTTTTGGAAATGAGGTTTAGGAAGGGAGTACAACATGAGTGATCATGAGAAGTCTAGAAGGAAAATGGAATGTATGAAAAGAATAAGGTTGGAAAAGGTATATTGGAAGTAATATGAAAGCCAGGTTAAGGAATTTACACATTTTAGGCAGTGGATAGTGCCCTGAGGTTTTTTAGCAAGATAGTGTTATAATTAAGGCTAAACTTAATGAAGAACAGTCAGATAGCAGTTTGATAAGTGGAAAAGGAAGAGAATGAAACTGGAGAGGCCAGGCGGGATATAATAAGGGGCTGAAATGAAGAAGTGGTAGTAGGAATGCAGAGCAACAAAAAAAAAATTTTTTTTGGGGGGGGGACCTATACTGAAGTGTTTCATCTCCAAGCTATACCCCCAACTCTTTTTATTTCCTTTTTTTTTATTGAGACAGGGTCTTGCTTTGCTGCATGGGCTGGTCATCCTGGAGATCCTCCTGCCTCAGTTTTCTAAGTCACTGGGGGATTATAGGCATGAGCCACTGTGCCTGGCCTGATGAGATTCTTAGTGGAGGCAGAATCAATAGGGCAATAGATTAAATCTTGTGAGTAAAAAAAAAGAGAAGATATGAACTTTAGAATACTGATTTTGAGGTGCTTGTAAGATGGAAAGAGACCTTTAGAGAGAGGTGAGGGCTAGGAATATTTCGAGTTAATGACTGAAGCTATTATTAGATGAAATTGGCAGGGGAAGTGTAGAAAGAGGGCTTAGGGCAGATACTGTGGAAAGCCTGCCCTGAGAGAAAGGGAGAAGGCAGCAGCCAGCCTAGGTGAAAAGTTGGTCAAAGAAGCAGAACTACAGTGCCACCAATGATACTGTGTATCTATTTTTTGCCACAACATTATAATTGCTGTAAGCCCACAATCAGATGTCCTGAAAAATTGATGAAATTAATTTCCTTTCTTTCATAGGTCAAGAGCTGTCTTAAAATTTTAGACTATGTTCTGATAATTCTGGTCAAAGTACACAGGATGATCATTGGTCTTACCTCAAGCTGCAGTCTTAAAGTTAACTAAATATATAATTTTATATTACTATTTTTGATATGTAAAGAGTGACTTTATTTTCAAATGATAAATCTATGAATACTTATTAGAAAAATTATCGTGTTCTCTTTTTTGTAAGTTAAAAGAGAAGCTAAGAAAAAACAGTACTTTTAGTTAACAAAAATGATTATGATTGACATGATAATCCAAAGAGAGTAGGTGTAACAACAAAGTGTTTCTCTTTTGTGACACAAAGAAGCCCTTTTATTGGGGTCATTATTGGGATGAAATTACTAGTTATGTATTTAGTACTTTTTTGTTTTTGTGGTGCTAGGGTTGAACTGATGGCCTCATACATGCTAGATATGCACTTTACTATTAAGCTACATTCTCAGCTCTTTAATGATAATTTTAAAGAGCAATCAATACATATAATAAATTAACCAAAGTTAATGTTTCATTTAAATAAACAAACCTTTTCTTGCCAATGTAAAATGCCAATTATAGCCAAGATGAAGACACAGACACCAATGAGAGCTATAGCGGTAAGTAGCACAATATTACTTGGTGTAAGATATAGTTTGGCACTCCAGCTGTAGATAAAAACAGACAAATTAAAATTACAAATGTTAACTTAAAGATAAGCTTAAACTGAGATCAAAAAGCAAAATAGCTTATTAAGTGATAAAATGAGCCATTCATTAAATAACTCACCCTCCTATTCATTAACTATAAGTAAAACAAAAGCAATTAAATTTAGAAGAGTGCTAAGACTATGACTCCTGCAGAGTTCATATTTTTGTTAGAAGCTAGGTGGAATTTTGTTTTTTTTTTTTTTGGTCTGATGCTAGGGATTGAACCCAGGGCCTCATGCATGCTAGGCAAGTACTTTACCATTGAGCTATACCCCCAGCTACCTGAAGTAGAATTTTTGATGAGATATTTTGATATTTTTCTTTTTCCAAGTTTGACCCTCTAAAAATTATTATTACTTTTTGTGGTATCAGGGGTTGAACCTAGGAGTGCTCTACCACTGAGCTACAACCCCAGCTGTTTTTATTTATTTAATTTACTTTATAGAGATAGTCATGCAAAGTTAAGAAGGCTGGCCTTGAACTTGTGGTTCTCCTGCCTCATCCTTTGGAGTATCTGGGATTATAGGCATATGCCACTGTGCCCAGCTAAGAAGTATTATTAATTTATCAAGGGTACTTTGGATGAGCAAAGACATCGTTTTCACATTTTGACTGACCTGCTAAATTTGAAACCTGAACTCTTAAAGATATGTGGTCATGACTTCAATAAAGTTTCTGTATCATTTTTTTTTATTGACCCTTGCCTACACATGCAGTATGACCAACTGAAACAACTGTATACATAGACGGCATGTGCAGGACTCGCCCCATTTCTGTGTCTTGGTTAGAGGGTTTACATTACTATAATGATTTTTATATTGAGAACAATGATAAAATCACCTTCAGTCCTTCAATGTTAATGTCAACAAACAGGTTAAAGGTCATCAACATAAACATAACTAGTTCTTCTTGCCTGAAACAGTATATACAACACAACTTATATATACAACACAACTTATAAACCCCGAAAAGCTTAAAGCCAAGATCTTTATCACCAACACTGCAGGGGGTTATATACATAGAGCATTTTGTTCTCCATGGAAACAGAAAATGGATATTTTCATTTCAAAAGTTTAATAAAGGTAAGATCATTCTGAAGAATAGCAAATAGCTATTGATATATTTTGGGATAATTAAAATTTATTGATCCAGAAGGTAGATTCTAGTCAATAAATATTAAAATATACCTCAAACTAAAATCAATTTGATTTTTATTATGTACATAAATTTGAAAAGAACATTTCCTCAGAAAGAGCAAGATAAATTAGTTGAGGAACTCTGTAGATTGCTCATATTTTAAAAAACAGTTCTTTCATGAGATATTTTGGGTTTTGCTTTTTAAATATATATTTTTTAAAAGTCAGTAACAGACACAAGGTAAATCCTCAAGGCAGTTGCTTGTACCAACTATCTTGCATACATGAACATATATACATAGATACCTTTTAGATCACAGTGGTTGTTGATTACACATACTTTTTTGCATTCTTTTTTTTCCTTACCATTCCATGGCAGTAAGAATGAGTCATGATACTGTACTACATAGAAATACCTATATATAGTTTCCTGCTTATTATCTATTTTCTAATTTTTTAAATAAATTTCATGTATAGAAATATGAACCAGGCCTAGGTATGTATGGTAGTGCATGTCTGTAGTCTCAATTAAATGGGAGGGTAACTTGAATCCTTGAGTTCAAGACCAGCCTAGGCAACACTGACTCAAAACAAAACAAAATGGAACCAAGTTTCCAGTGAAACAGTTTCTATTGATGTTGAAGCATAATGCTGTAATAAAGTTTGTTTTCTCCAACATTTTGGTTCTAAAGGCCATATATCTGTCATAAAATTACGTATAGATGTGCTGGTAAACTTGTTCTCTGCAGGGTAGGGGGAAATAGAACTGATTTATGGCATTTGCCAGTTTTCAGAGAGTAAATTCTCCTACAATAACTGATTTTAATGTGACTTCACTGAATAGAAATGGAAAAAGATGCACACAGTTGTTGAGGTGTCATGAGATGGTCTGGTCTAGCACACCACAATAATACATCTCATCCAAAAACTTAATAAAGAAAAAGGCTGAGAGTGTAGCTTTGTGGTAGAATGTATGTTTGGCATACACAAGGCCCTGGGTTCAGTCCCAACCCAGGGGTTGGAGCAGGAGTTGGGGGAAGACAAAAATTCCTATATTTTGAGAATAAATGTAATAAGCAGGATCTTACTGATAGAACAGAATCAATGTAATTAAAAACTTAACAGATAAATTAAGGATTTAAAGTTAAATGCTATCTCAAGAAAGGAATGCATGCTGATAATAAGAATAAAAACATTTACCTACTATGTGCTTGGCACTGTGTTAACTATTTCGCATCCTTATCCTCTTAAGATAGGTGTTCTATCTCCCATTCTATAGACACAAAATTTGGGCCATAGAGAGCACAAAATATTAGCTCCCAATCTCACAGGACATCAGTGGAGCTGAGTTTTTCTAGTCTAGGTCTGTTTGGCTCTGAAATTTGTGTGCCCAATTTCTTGGGATGTATACTACTTTTCAAAGAATTTAGTTAAAAGATCAGTACTTATTAAAAAATGAACCATCTTAAGGCTGAAGTCATATAACTCAGTGGTAGAGTGTTTGCCTAACAGGTCTAGATCTGATCCCTGACACTCAAAACAAAAACAAAGCCAAAACAATTTAACATCCTGAAACATTAGAATTTATGAGTAGTAAAACAAAGAGTAATTCATTTAAGCAGAATATATATATATATATCCTTAACTAATTAACCTGCTATTTTTCTAATAGGATTGGATTTGTTCTTCATGAAAAATGTCAGAGACCTTTTGTTGTAGGTATGTTCAGTCATTTAAAATTTGCTGTAAGCAAATTGAGTGATGAGCATTCTTAGGAACATAGCAGGAATGTGGGTTTCTTTGTGTATGTTTATATGTGTACAGTGCTGGGGATCAAACCTAGGACCCCTAAGAATAAGAAAATTTTAGGGGCTGGGTGTGGCTCAGTGGTAGAGCACTTGCCTAGCATGTGAGAGGCCCTGTGTTTGATCCTCAGCATCACATAAAAATTAAATAAAATAAAGGTATTGTGTCCAACTAAAAGCAAAAATTAAAATAATTTAAAAAAGAATAAGAAAATTTTAAAGACATTACTATATCTATCATACAGAGTTGGCAGTATCTTTACTCAATTTAGTCAAACAGGAACATTACCTTCGAGGGACATTGTGAGGGTATGGAATGACAATTAGCTGGGAATTTGGAATGATTGCAGTCCACTCTTGTTTTCGTACAGACTGAAAAAAAGAATTTAAGAACATTTAACATCTAGGGTATAAAGAACACAATTATTTAATTCTAAGTAAACAAGGAAAAATTTCAAGTAATGTGAGATGATGAAATACCAGGTATGAATTAAAACTAAATTTACATATATAGGGCTTCTGTATCCTCTGTTTGAAAAATTTTCTTATTTTTTATATTATACTTGTATCTTATGAATTTATTCACCCAACAAATATTTATTGGGCAAAAATATTTAGCAGGTGCTGTGTACAAATGCACATTGAGGGGAGACTGACAAAAAGAGTAAGATGTAATTTACTAACACAAGTAAAATATTACTATTATATATTGTATTTTTATGTATTATACTTATATATTATTGTGCTTATGTCAGTAAAATATTAAATGTTAGGTGGTGAAAACTGTTAAGAATAAGCAGGAAAGAATAGGAAGTCATAAAATTTACGGGGGGTGAGATGGAAAAACTACACAATATCTTCAGATCATGATGTACTACTTAGTAAGATAAGCTTAGATAGGTCACCATCAATCAGTTTTTTTTTTTTATTCTTTTAAGGGAAAAACAATATTCAAATTATTTGTATCCAACTGGACTCAAATTATTGAATTGAAATATTTAAACATTGAATATTTAAGGTCAGAATTGTAAACAACTAAATTTTTACTTACTGTCTCTCCAGAAGGACGGGGAATACCAACATAAAGATGGTCAAGAAAATTTGCACTTCGACCTAAACCAAGTACGTTGTATGGTAGTTGGAGAGCTAAATGTGCTGATTGGCTGAGTTGTCCAGCTAGATTTTTTTTAAAACAATGCAAAACAAAAAACATCTTTGGAAACATTATTCCCATCAAAAGATAAAATGAGAAAAATGTAAACATTCAGGTAATAAAACTATTCATAAGTATAAAAAATGTGAAATTAACATCCAGTTCATTGATATTAATGATTTACTTTTTACAGAAAACAGATGTGATCCTTAAAGCTGATTTACAAATTTGATTCACATACCAGATATATCACCCATTTAAAGTATACATTTAAGTGGTTTTGAGTATATTCAAAGAGTTTAGCCATTACCACAATATAATTTTAGGACATTTCCAATACTTGAAAAAGAAACTCCATATCTACTTAGGGGTATTCTTGTTTCAACTCCCATACTTCCCACTGAAGGAAATCTCTAATCTGTTCTCTGTCTCTACAGATTTACCTATTCTGAAGACTTCACATAAATACAAACAAACAATATATATGGTTTATTGTCACTGGCTTCTTACATTTTGTTTCAATAATTAATTGCCAAATAATGTTGTATTATGTGATGTATACTATCATTTTATTTCATTTATTACTTAATGGATATTTGAGTGATTTCCCCTTTTTTGCTATCATGAAAAATACTGCTGTGGACATTAATATACAATTTTTGGAATCTCCTTACATTTTCCTGTCTTTTAATTAACATCTAAGAGTGTTTAACATCTTTAGGAACTACAAATTATTTTCCAAAGTAGCTGTACTGAAGTTTGATAGGATAAATAACTTTTAATGTTCTGTAGTATAGCAGGATAATTATGGTTGACAACAATTGTATATTTCAAAATGGCATAGAGGATTCTGAAGAATAATAATGTTCTAGGGTGATGGCTATGCCCATTACCCTCATTTGATCATTACATGTTGTATATATGTACTGAAATGTCAAACTGTATTCCATAAACATATATAATTATTATATCAATTAAAATATATATACATTTATAAAAAGTAGTTGTACTTTTACATATTCCTGCCAGCAATGTATGAAGGTTTCAATTTTTCTACATCCTTGATAACATTTTTTCTGTATTTTTTTTGACTATAACCATTTTCAAGGTTGTAAAGTGGCATCTCACTGGGGTTTTTATGTGCATTTTCCTAGTGACTAATGATATTATGCTTTTTTTCATGTGTTTATTTGTTATTTGTTTATCTTCATTTATATTTTCTGTAAGGTTACTAGTGGCTTCCTTTTGCATTCTGGATTTTAGTTAATTAGAATCTTCTCTTTTTACTGAAAACTTCAGACCAATATCCCTGATGAAAACAGACACAAAAATCCTTAATAAAAATACTGGCAAATTGCATGCAAAAACATTCAAAAGATGATCAAGTGGTTCAACATATGGAAATCAATAAACAATTCATCACATTAATAGACTTAAAGACAGGAATCACATGATTATCTCAGATGCAGAAAAAGCATTTGACAAAATACAGCATCCATTCATGTTCAAACTAGAAAAACTAGGGATAGTAGGAACATACTTCAACATTGTAAAAGCTATATATGTTAAACCTAAGGCCAATATCAATCTAAATGGAGAAAAATTGAAAGCATTCCCTCAAAAAATTGGAATAAGACAAGGATGCCCTCTTTCACTACTTCTATTCAACACAGTCCTTGAAACTCTAGCCAGAGCAATTAGAAGGAAAAAACTAAAGGGATATGAATAGAAAAAGAAGAACTCAAACTATCCCTATTTGCCGAAGTCATGACTGTATATTTAGAAGACCCAAGCTACTCCACCAGATAGCTTCTAGAGCTCATACATGAATTCAGCAAAGTAGCAGAATATAAAATTAACACCCATAAATCAATTGTGTTCCTATACATTAGTAATTAATCAACAGAGAAATTAAGAAAACTATTCCATTCAGAGTAGTCTCAAAAAAAAATTTGGGAATCAATCTAACAACTACAATGAAAACTACAGAACACTCAAGAAAGAAACCTTAGAAGATGGAAAAATCTCTCATGTTCTTGGAGAGGCAGAATAAATATTGCCAAAATGGCTATACTACCAAAAGTGCTATACGGATTTAATGCAATTCTTGTTAAAATTCCAATGATGTTCTTCATAGAAACAGAAAAAGCAGTCATGAAATTCACTTGGAAAAATGAGGCCCAGAATAGCCAAAGCAATTCTCAGCAAGAAAAGTGAAACAGAAGGCATCACAATATCAGACCTTAAATTGTACTGCAGAGCTATAGTAACAAAACAGCATGGTATTGTCACCAAAACAGACATGAAGACCACTGGTTGAAAACAGAAGACATACAGAAAAACCCACATAAATACAGTTATCTCATACTAGACAAAGGTGCCATAAACATACATTGGAGAAAAGATAGCCTCTTCAACAAATTGTGCTGGGAAAACTGGAAATCCATTTGTAGCGAAATGAAATTAAACCCTTCTCTCTCACCCTGCACAAAACTCAAAGTAGATCAAGGACCTAGGTATTTGACCAGAGACCCTGCCACCTACTAGAATAAAAAATAGGTCCAAGTCTCCATCATGTCAGCTTAGGAACTAACTTCTTCAATAAGATTCCTAAAGTGCAAGAAGTAAAATCAAGAATCAATAAATGGGGGCTGGGATTTTTAGCTTAGTGGTAGAGTGCTTGCCTAACACATGTAAGGCAATAGATTCGATCCTCAGTACCACATTAAAAAAAATAAAGGTATTGTGTCCATCTACAACTAAAATAATAATAAAAAAGAATAAACAGGATGAGATCAAACTAAAAACCTTCTTCACAGCAAAGGAAACTCCTTAATCATGAACATGAAGACAGCGCCTACAGCATGGTAGAAAATCTTTGCCATCTGCACCTCAGACAGAATGTTAATCTCCAGGATTTATAAAAAACTCAAAAAACACCAAAAAATAACAAACCCAAATAACCCAATTAATAAATGGGCTAAGGAACTGAACAGGCATGTTGCAGAAAGAGAAATACAAATGGTCAATAAATATATGAAAAAAATGTTCAACATCTCTCAAAATTAGAGAAATGCAAATTAAAACCACACAGATTTCCTCTTATTCCAGTCAGAATGGCAATTATCAAGAATACAAGTAACTATAAATGTTGGCAAGGGTGTGGGAAAAAGGTACACTCATACATTGCTGGTGGGACTGCAAATTAGTGCAACTACTCTGGAAAGCCATATGGAGATTCTTCAGAAAACTTGGAACGGAACCGCCATTTGTCCAAGTTATACCACTCCTCTACATATACCCAAAGTACTTAAAAATCATCATATTGTAGTGATCCAGGCACATCAGTGTTTATAGCAGCTCAATTCACAATATCTAAGCTATGGAACCAGCCTAGGTGCCCCTCAACACATGAATGTATAAAGAAAATGTGGTATATATACACAGTGAAATATAACTTAACCATAAAGAAGAATGAAATTATGGTATTTCCCAGTAAATGAATGGAACTAGAGACTATCATGCTAAGTGAAATAAGCCAGTCCCCAAAACCAAAGGCAAATATTCTCTCTGATATATGGATGTGAACACACAATAAGAGGGGAGTGGAGGGAAGAACCAGAAGTTCCCTGGATTAGACAAAAGGGAATGAAGGGAAGGGAGGGAGGGGATGGAAATAGGAAAAACAGTAGAATGAATCAGACATAACACTCCTATGTTCATACATGAACACCCGACCAGAGTAACTCGACATCATGTGTAACCATAAGAATGGGAAAGTACACACCATGCATATATAATATGTCAAAATACATCCTAATGTCATGTATAACTAAAAAAAAATAACAAAAAGAGAATCTTCTTTTTTTCCTGATATTTCTATTTAAAGGTTGGTCAATTTTGTTAGTATTAAAAGAAATAGTGTTCAGTTTATTCTGTTTCTGTATTATTTATTTTCTTCATTATTTGCCATCTTCTGCTTTCTTTAACTGTTGGCTTTACTTTTTCTAGTTTCTGAAAGTGGAAGATTAGGCTTATGCTACTTATTGGGGATTGTTCTGATTTTCAACAAAGGTATTTACAGTGGTAAATTACCCTATATGAACTGTTTTCGCTTCATTCCATTGATTTTGGTATGGTGTGTGTGTGTGTGTGTGTGTGTGTGTGTTTTATCTCAAAATGTTTTCGATGCCTAATGATTTTTTCTTTGCCTCATTGTTTATTTTGGAGTGTATTGTTTGATTTCCACACATTTATGAATTTCCAGTGTTCTGTGATTTTTAATGTCATTCCATTATGGTCAGAGAACATAACATGGTATGACTTCAATCCTTTTAAATTTATTTATTCAGGTTTGTTTCATGACATAGCATATGTATGGTCTATCCTAGAGACTGTTCAGTGTGATCCTGAAAAAAGTGCATATTCTGCCATTGTTGGTTAAAGTGTGCTATACACGTCTTTTAGGTTTAGATGGTTTATAGTTTTCAGATTCTTTCTCATTGATCTTAGTTGTTTGATCAATTCTGAAAGTGAGGTATTAACGTTTTCATTATTTATATTGAACTATCAATTTCTCTTTTTAATTCTTCATGTATTTGGGGGCTCTGTTAGCTGCATGCATCTTTAGAGTTGTTATATCTATCAGGTCTCTGGTTAATAAAATATCTGTCTTTAGTAACAGTTTTTATCTTACTGTTTACCATATACTGAAGGCAGTATATTTCCTTTATTTATTCTGCCAATCTATGTTTTGATAGAAGTATTTATTTAATTTACATTTAAAATAATTAACTGACAAGGCCATATTTATGTCTATCATTTGCTATCTGTTTTCTATGTCTGATGTTTATAAAATTCTTTTATTTCTCTGTTCCTGCTTTCTTTTGTTAAGTCTTTTCTATAAACCCTTTAAATTCCTTTGGTATTTCTTTTACTATATATATTTTTAGAGTTACTTACTGTCTTAATGATTGCCCTGGGGATTTCAATTAACATCTTACCTTAAAAAAAATCTAGTTCA